CTTTTCAGATTTCTTTATTTTGGCGTTTTACCTGTAGATATTAGCATCCGAAAAACAAATATTTTTTCGTTCCCCGTTAACATCGCAACCAATTTCCTCGCATTTCTTTTTAATCGTTACAGTCATTAGTGAAGTAGGTAACAAGGTGTTTTAACGTCAATGATTTTCTTCCAAATCTGGTGTCACACACTGGATCGAAAATCGCGTTTCGAAGACATAAAGCTTTTAAGTTTTGTGTCGTTTTTTAAGGTTGAAATAGCTTTTGTTTAGTATTACTATGATCAAAAGTGTCACACGAAATAATTTGGCTTAAAAACCGAGGACTTATGATCTTTTTTTTACGAAATAAAATTAAATAAATGTATGGAGCAGATATGAGAAATCGGCATAACGCTGGAATCGCATAATTGCGCGTTATATCCTTACAGGGGGTTATAATACTAATTATTTGTGAATTTGATATTACGGCAAATACTGCACTTTTTTTTTATCGTAAAAAATATTTTATTTTACAGACTTTCTTGCAGAAAGATGATACGGGTTTACTCGTAGACTTAAAATTAGGCGTCTAATAACTTTTCAAATAATCGATTGTATAAAAATTCCACTTACACATGCTATATAATAAATGCCCACATCATCATCATCATTACAGCCCTTCACAAGTCCACTGCTGAACATAGGCCTCCTCCAAGGAATGCCACAAAGCACGGTCCTGAGCCACCTGCATCCATCGACTTTCTGCATGTCTCACAAGGTCGTCACTCCATCTAGTGGGGGGTCGCCCTACACTTCGCCTACCAGTACGAGGCTGCCACTCGAAAACCTTTCTTCCCCATCGGTTGTCGGTTCTTCGAGCTATATGGCCGGCCCACCGCCACTTCAGCTTACTAATCGGTTGGGCAATGTCGGTTACTCTGTTTCTACTGCGGATATCCTCATTTCTAAGTTTATCACGCAGACACCCCGAGCATAGCCCTCTCCATAGCTCGCTGAGCGACCTTGAGCTTCCTCATACGGCCAGCAGTGAAGGACCACGTCTCAGATCCGTAAGTCATCACTTGCAACACGCACTGGTTATACAATTTCGTTTTCAGGTTTTGAGGTATATCTAACGAGATGTGTCGTGTAGTTTCCCGAACGCTGCCCAACCGAGTTGAATCCGTCGATTGACCTCTCGGTCGAAGTTGGACTTACCTAGTCGGACTATTTGTCCCAGGTAAACATACTCGTCAACAAATTCGAGCTTAGTGCTCCCAACAACTACCGGCATAGGTGTGACATGGACGTTAAACATGATTTTTGTTTTGTCCATGTTCATCTTAAGACCTATCCGTTGGTAGACACTATTGAGGTCATTGAGCATAATGCTTAGGTTCTCCAGCGATTCTGTCATAAGGACTATATCGTCGGCAAATCGAAGGTGAGTAATGTACTCGCCATTGATGTTAATACCGCATCCCTTCCAGTCCAATAGCTTGAAAACGTTTTCCAAAGCAGCGGTGAAGAGTTTCGGGGATATAACGGCACCCTGTCTTACACCTCTCTGCAGTTGGATAGGTTTCGTACTCTGATTCTGTACTCGGATAGCCATCATAGCTCTACTGTACAAACACTTCAACACTTCGATATACCGACAGTCAACTTGGAATCGCTGAAGGGACTGCAGCATCGTCCAAATTTCGACGGAATCAAAGGCTTTCTCATAGTCCACATACGCCAGACATAGTGGCAAATTGTACTCTTCGGACTTCTGTACAATTTGCCGAAGGGTATGTATGTGGTCTATGGTGCTAAAGCCCTTTCGGAAACCGGCTTGTTCGGGAGGCTGGAAGTCGTCAACTCTGCGCGCGAGACAATTCGTAATGACTCTCGAAAACAGCACGTAGACGCGACTCAGAAGGGAAATCGGTCTGTAGTTTTCCAAGAGAGCGTTGTCACCTTTCTTGCAGAACAAGACCACCGCACCTCTGCTCCACGCCTCCGGTGTAATGCCATCATGAAGGACGGAATTAAAGAGCTTCTTTAGGACTTCAAGTACCGGTTTTCCACCCGCTTTCAGAAGCTCCGCTGTAATTCCATCCTCGCCCGGGGACTTGCCGTTTTTAAGGTGCTGGAGAGCCATTCTAATCTCGCTCAGACTGACGTCCGGGATATCTTCGGAATAGTGTCGGATAAGACTCGCTCTTGTATCGTTACTCACACTTGCGTGTGGCTCCAACGATGACGTGTACAGCTGCCCATAGAACCTCCCAATCTCACTCAAAATCTCAGGTGTCCCGGAAGCAATGCTGCCACACTCGGTCTTCAGCTTTGACAGTTGGCTCTTTCTGGTAGACAGATCTCTGGCAAAGACTTTGGAGCCTTGGTTCCGCTCGATCGCTTCTTCAATACAAGCTGTATTGAAGTGGCGTAAGTCCCGCCGCATCCATTTGGAGATCTGTCTGTTCAGTTGCATGTATACTGTCAAATCTGTTGAGGAGTGTAGCTTCATCTCCCGTCTAACAGCCATGAGATTAAGAGTGTGATCGGAGATTTTGTGTTCTTCTGCGGCGGGTCTTGCAGAACTTAGCTCCAACCGCATGGACAGTTTCCACGAGCTTGTCATTCATATCGTACACTTCATTGCAGTCTTCTAGGCACTGAAAACGGTTTAGTAACTCGAGCTGAAAGGTTTCGGTTTCTGTTCCACAGAGCACGAGGGGGACGGAGCGTTGACTTCATTAGACGAGACCTCTCCAACTAAACGTTTAGGTTCAGTGTGCCTCTAACCATTCGGTGATCGCTACCAGTTTTCACCCTCGTGATCACGGAGACATCACTGAACAGTTGTCGTCTGGTCGTCATAATGAAGTCAATCTCATTTTTTGTCGAACCATCGGGGCTCGACCAGGTCCACTTCCTATGAGGCCGCTTCTGGAAGAAAGAGTTCATCATAAAGAGTCCCTCTTTCTCCATGAAGTCGGCCAGCTGCTGGCCCCTTGGGTTCCGTTGCCCTATTCCAAATTTCCCTACTTTTAGCTCACCATTCTCCCTTGCGCCTAGTTTTGCGTTGAAGTCTCCCATTAACACCGTATAGTGGGTTTTGGAGGAATGCATGGATCTAGAGATATCCTCATACATTTCCTCCACCTCCTGATCGGGGTGTGTCGAGGTTGGTGCGTAAACCTGTATGACCTTCTGCGAATACCGTTTGGTGATTCTGTGTATAAGGTACGCAACCCTCGTCGACACACCCTCAATCTTTACAACGTTGTTAACGAGAGACTTGTGGACGATAAATCCGACACCTCCTTGGGACAGATGGTCGCCCTCCCGGTGATAGAGCAAGAACAAGTTGCCGGATTCGAGGATTACCGTGTCCTCCCCCTCTCTTCGAACTTCGGATAATCCTATAATATGCCAGCGTAACTTGTCCATCTCTTCTTCCGGCTCCACGATCTTCTCGTCAGTCCTCAGAGTGCGTGCGTTGTATGTTGCCAGGTCGAGTCGTTGTAGGTGGCAACCGAACCTCCACCGGAGATTCTTAGCACCCCCTGCCCCGCCGTTACCATGGTCGCCACCGTAGCCAGGAATAGCGGGGCCGCCGGGGACTGGGGGCCGTCTCTTTGTTGCTCTCATTAATGGGGGGTATTTGCCATAGTTGCCACGCTTGGCAAGCGGGTTGGCAACCGCAATTTTTTATTGTACTTTTGCTGTTATCAGGAAAATGCTGCTGCCCATCTCCTGCCTGTTTCCCTTTGTCGCCTTTTACTACACCCACGGGAAGATATGGGGTAGTGGATATTCTTAACCGCTACTACACGGCCACAATAAATACCCACACAATATAGTAATTACCAATATAATAAATGCCCACCAGTCTTTCTATCACGAAGACTTCTTGCCAAAATGAACCTTGTTTTTAGACCTTCATTTTATTCAATATTCGATTTTTATTGTGTGCTACTCCTGAGAGTCACTTGTTTATACTATTCTAGTACTTGTTCTCGCAAACTTCAAGAGTGGATTAATTAAAGATATTAACCTTTCCCTGTCCCGTGACTCACATATGGGTCATTGTTATTAACTTACTATTGTCCGCAAATCGAACAGTGAGTGTTAAGATAAAAGTTCGGACGCCATATGCACCCATATTCATACAACCCATATTTCATATTAAAACATGTGAAACGAAACTTAGCACTCCTGTGTTATAATAAACAAGGATTTAAGAAGAAAGAGCAATAAAACTTTCTATACATTTTATTTATTTCCATTCAAAACATCAATAACGTATACAACATGAAGTCATTGAATCTTCTTCAATAATTGCATATTGAATGTGTGTTATGGAACAAAATTTTGGAATGTAACATTCGTTACCCAGCATTGTAATTTCATTGTTCTATATACATAACTTTAGTAGTTAAATATCACACTCGGACGTAAATGGCAACACTGATTTCTAAATAATTTTTTTAACAATTTTGTGCACAGAATAGATATATTGTCCGAAGCACCAGCAAAGGAAAATAATGTCACTTTCATATATTAATAATTTATCATATTACCACTTTTGAGGAAATATATACAGAGACGGCAACATTTTTTATTTTTCTCCAACAACCACACTGGCTGCGGCTACCATAGACAATTATAAATTATTTATAGCAACACGATTGTTATAATTTTGCAACTTGATCATAATATAGATAATACACATTATAATAAACTATTAACAACTTACTAATAAACAGTATTTATCTTACAAGAATAACGCGGTCCAACATTCTAATCTGTTTAAAGGAAATTTAATAAAGTCCAGTTTAGTATAATAAGGACTCGAATTACGTAATTAATGTAATATTTAACAATATATTGTTATATATACTTTTAAAATAATCTAAAAAAGACAACAATTTAATAATATATACCATAGATATTTGTATCTCAGTAGGTATTGCCATATCAAATTAGAATATAAGACCGCGTTAAATAAAATTGTGGTTGAATTGGGCCTAATGGCGGGAATCACGGGGATAGAACTCGGCGAGAGTGGAAGCAGGGATACGTTTAAGCATCTCCTTGGGGAAGATACGGAGCAATTGCCAGCCGATGTCCAATGACTCGAAAACTGTGCGGTTTTCGTAGTTGCCCTGAAATGAGTAAAAAACATAAAAATGAAAATTCTGCAAGACCCCTTGACGCCACGACAATTTATATTTTATCCTATTATTCTAGTCGTCCGAGCTCACAAGGCATCTGTAATCCTTCTTTATTTAAAGTTAGTTACAGATGTCTATGGGCTGCAGTAAGTCCCTTACCATCCATAGATTGTTATATCACTCAAATATTACAGATTATATTACTTTTTCGCCGAGTATAGGCCTCCTTTAAGTAATGCCACAAAGCATGATCCTGCGAACCCAATTACCTCATTCCATCCCGTGTGTCGTAAGCGACAGAGGGAAACTTAAACAGCAGATGAGCATCTCAACCTTCCTGATAACATCTTACCGTTACCGTTACAGCCTACTAAAGTTCACTTCTGAACATAGGGCCTCCATATTTGCTGCCAAGCAAGCAACTAGACAAATCTCCCCCATGTTTAGTGGAATCTCAATACTTTTAAACGGCTCCGTGTCGCAGTGGCTTAGCAATAAGTTGCAACGCCAAGGGCCGCAGGGTCGTACCACGCACGGAACAAGTATTTGTATGGCCTACAAATAATTGTTCTGGGTCTGGATGTTTATCTTTGTGAAATTTATGTATGTAAACTTCTCCCAGGAGGTTTACATACATAAATTTAACAGGAGAAAATCCTAGTGCAGAGGTCACGTTTTTTTTTAAAAGAAATAAAAATCATATAGAAATCATATACATATAAATACATAAACATTATCTTATTTCATTTTTACCTGCGTGATGAAGTTCTTCTCGAACTTGGTGAGGAACTCAAGGTAGAGCAAGTCGTCAGGTGTGAGCGCTTCCTCACCGACCACGGCCTTCATCGCCTGCACGTCCTTACCGATGGCGTAGCAAGCGTACTGGTCAAATAGTTAAACACATTAATATAACAACATGGTAAAACAGACAACAGTAAATAGTGTAGATACAATGTGATCTACCCTCACTGCTACTCCTTTTATGTCTAGAAATCCGTCCGTAACCCCCTCTATCTCTACCTAATAGCGTCAATAATAGTAAAACAAATATAATTTCAGTGTCAGTAGCGTGTCCCCATAGCAAAATACCATACGACATTATGCTATTGAAATAGCTAAACTAGTCTAACTGTTTCAACAGTGGTAAGATTTGTAATCTTTTTTACAGCATATGCTGCAGAACTAAATCTACTTGCTAGTTTTGATATATGGGGGCTCCAATCAAAATCACATTAGTATTTTATTGTTTGACATTTGGAGTCATGAATTTCATACATATCGTTTTGGTGCGATTTAAATGCAAATTATTAACATTTAACCAATTTACTAATTTAGAAATAGCATTATTTACTTCGTCATATTTTAGTAATTGTCGTCTTGATCTGAAAATTAAAGAAGTATCATCAGCAAATAATACTATATCATGGTTATCCCCTACTATGTAAGGTAAGTCATTAATGTATACAAGAAACAGAAACGAGCCGAGAATTGAGCCTTGAGGCACACCCATTTATACCATCGACCCGAAAGAGCTCATACTGTTAATGACAACTTTTTGCGTTCTATTACTTAAATATGAAATAATTAATTTAAGAACATCACTTCTTACATCGTAGTGTTGAAGTTTCCTGATTAATGTTTCATGGTGAACACAATCGAAGGCCTTGGATAGGTAGACAGAATATACCCAAAGCATCATGTGAATTCTCCCATGCATTAAACATAATATATTTAACCAGCTTATCACCGGCATCAGATGTCGAGCGACCCCTTGGGAAATCAAATTGATTTTTATGAAGTAAATTATTAATATTGTTGCGCGCCACTATTAATGTCTTGTACATGGCAACACTAGTTACCACTAGCGTCCTCTAGTATCGAGTAGCAGAACTAGGAGAGTTAAGATCCTTCTAGAAATATCGGGACCGATATGTACTCGAACATTCTAGACGTTTCTATAGTAGAAGGTTCTGGAAACTACCTGAGGCTCTATATAAGGCCGGGACAGACTGCGACCGGGTCAGTATTGAATTGGCGATATAAGCGAATATTTCGAAGCGATACAACTGCGAACTAAAGTGATCAGTAGTACAATTGTGTTTTATTATTAGTGTGGTTTTAGATTGTAATTAGTGTTCTGTAATTAAAGTGTCAATTTTGGTAATTCAATCGGCAGTTTTTAATTGTCTCGAACCACAAGCTCGTAAAAATATTAAAGAAATTTAACATTTGATCAAGAATAATTTTTTTCAGAAATCTTACTAAGTACTGGTAGTACAAAAATAGGTCTAAAATTGGCGGGGTCTAATGTACTACCAGTTTTAAATAAAGGTTTTACTTTACTAAGCTTCATTAAATCAGGAAACACATCAGATTCGATGATAGTATTAAAAATAATAGCTAGATGAGGTGCGACTGTATTATATTGCAAACAAATCCAGAAATAAATATGTTGAAATTTAAGCTTTCAAAAATAACACTCATTACAGCTTTCAAATTAATACCGAAATATTCCGAATTATAGTTTGCTTTACAAATGTACTTGTATACACTTACCAGCTGGTTAGAGACGTCGGAGTGGTCCTTGCGGGTCATGCCCTCGCCAATGGCGGACTTCATGAGACGAGACAGAGAGGGCAGTACGTTCACTGGTGGGTAGATCTGTCTGTTATGCAACTGACGGTCTACGTAGATCTGGACAAGTAATCAACATTTTAATATGATATGTATGAAACACAAATATTTGATCTACCGGCACTTGAACCTTAAATATCATTACAGAATCCCTAAAAATCTTATTATCTCATCATCGAGACTAAACGGTTGGTCATGAAAATGTTTCATTTTCCTTCATAAAAATCTTAACAACATTAAATATCTCAACTGCCGTCTCACCGTCCAGTTATTACAACAATGACTATAGACGATTTGCCGACTGATGTTAATACTTCAATCATCAATAAAATTTCAGCAATGGTAATTATTACATGATAAGCACTAGACATCGAATTATTTATTTATATGTATTTGGACATTAAATAACAGCAAAAATAACTCCGAGAAACCAGGGTAGTCGACAAACAAGGCAATTAAACAAATTCATAATTTCTTGCAGTCAAATATTATTTGAATATTCTTAAAAACTAAAAACTTACGTGAGAAAACCATCTAAGTTTCGAAACACTTAAAAGTAGTTGTGGTCTATCGCGATATAAAGCTTGATCAGAAAATGAACTAACTTATTACTTAAGCCTTACTTCAATCTATGTATACGCGAAATATATTTAATGATAATTTACTTATTACTAAGTATTTATTTAATGTATACCTAATATGAACCATATTACTTTGTATTTATTACCCTCTTTATATATTTATACATATAATTGTCTATATTTCTGTCATTTTTAATACTTATGTATGTGTATATTTCATTTTTAATTGTAGTTTGTCTTTGTCTTTACATCCTAAATACCACTGACTGACTCATCACAATATCTCTAAAACTATACATCCGATTGACTTGAAATTTAGTGTAGTTACTCATTTCGCAATGTAAACGATCACTAAGAACAGATTTTACAATAGTCCTATAAAAATTTTTCTTGATATTATATCTACGTTATTATCGTCTATTATCATCGTGCGCCCAGCGAAGCGAGCGGGTATCAGCTAGTAATTCATATTATGTTAATATTCTAATATTTTTAAGCTAAAGTAATTTGGACTTTATTGTGTTTAGTTTAAACTTATTTTTTATTTCCGCGAGTTTTTTTTTTTCGCTAATCTAAACATCGTTATTATAACATTAACCACGATAAAATTACATCCAAAAAATTATATTTTTAAAAATTTTGCCAGCTTTATTAGTTAGATAGTTAGTATGTAAACATAATCTAAAATATAGATAAGATTAACGAAAGAATTGTCTTTACTCACCTGTCCCTCAGTAATATAACCAGTCAAGTCAGGAATTGGATGGGTGATGTCGTCGTTAGGCATGGTCAGGATGGGGATCTGAGTGATGGAACCGTTGCGGCCTTCTACACGCCCGGCGCGCTCGTAGATTGTGGCCAAATCCGTGTACATGTAACCTGGTGGACAACACATTACATTGTACTGTATTTTTAAGTGTAAATCATCAAACTAGACTGGGCATCATATAATTTCAAGTCCACTGCTGAACTTCCCCCAAAGAATGTCACAATGAACGATACAGAGCTACCTGCATCCATTTTTTTTACAACATTGATTATTACATAATACTTATTGAAAGTCATTTTTTTATTTACCACTGGTTCTCATTCTCTTCATTGACTTCTAGATCATCACTCCATCTAGTAGGGCCGCCCTATACTTCGTTCACCAGTATGTTGCCGCTCGAGAACATTTCTTCCCCATCGGTTGTCAGTTGTTCGTGATGTATGGCTTGATCCTTTGCCACTTCAGCTTATTGAACAGTTGGGCTATATCCGTTACTGTGGTTCGGCTGCGGATATCTTCAATACGAAGGTTATCACGCAGAGAAACTCCGAGCATAGCCCTCTTCAGAGCTTGTTGAGGGAACTTCCTCATACAACAACATGAAGGGTCATATCTAAGATCCATTACATCATCACTGGCAACATGCACTGGTGGCACACTCTTGTGTTCAAGTTTTGAGTTATACATGACGAAAGATATGTCGAAGAATGGTCACCAGTGCAATCCAAGAGTACAGCTCTTTCAATAAACACCTTTTTACTCTAGGTGTCACAGAGCAGCCCCCTGTGGAAAACCTACATGGGACATAAGGAAACACCACCCCATATTCTATTTGATTGTCCAGCGGTTGCTAGCTACGGTGCTAATTATGTTGGATCACCGAGGTTGCTCCTACAGGTCCATTGGTAATATCAAGAACTAAGATTCCTCAAGAAGTTCTGGTGTCCTTGAATGATATATAATTCCTGTCACACGCAAAATACGCACCTAGACGTGATGTTGTGGATACAAGCCCAGTTCAATTAACACGTGATCCACATATGGGTCACTGTCCAGTGACCCACATATAGGCCATTACTGTTGTCTTGAAACCCCGTACGGTGAAAGTGTTAATCGATCCAAAAAATGTATTAAATATAATATTATAACGCCGTGTGTTTGTGTTTCATAGATATCGTAAGAGGCGACTATGGTAATGGCCTGAAAGACCTTGGGGCCTCTGATAGATAACAATATGTAAATTAACTAGACAGAAGTTGGGGAGCAGCATGAAACGTGTGGTACTGCAAAATCCACTCCTACCAAGTGTAGCAACATCTTAAGAATACAAGAACTAAGTAACAATTGGGCGAAATTCGATCGACAATAGCTCAAGCGAACGAAAAATGGAGTTTAATTTCAAAAACATTTAAAAGTTTAGTATAGTGGGGTTAGCAAAGATGACCTTTTACGATTGTTAATGCTATAGAAAACTATAAAAATTAACAGGGAAAACATATCTGAATGTGAAGACATGGGGCAACCATGTGACTTAGTGTTGATTTTATTACATTTTTATCATTTATCTTTTCTTTATTGAACCTTACACAATGTATAGGAACAAAAGGCAAACTTAATGCTGAAAGCTTTTTACTAATTGCATATGAAAGTATATACGGTACATATAACAAAAAAAACAATTTCTAACATTTTTGTCTGTCTGTTTGTTCCGGCTAATCTCCGAAACGGCTGGACCGATTTTGACGGGACTTTCAATGGTAGATATCTCAAGTTAGGAGTAACTTAGGCTACTTATATTTTAGAAAAATAATTAGGGTTCCGCGCCAGAAATTAAAACCCTAATTACACGCGGGCGAAGTCGCGGGGAACAGCTAGTTTGTAATATGTTTGATATAAATTTAGGTTATATCAAAAGTTATATTTAAATACTTTTTACTAAGGAGGTATACTCATAGAAACATAAAAAAATACAAAACCGCCAAAAAATTAAAAAAAAATTAAACATGGTAGAGACCTGGGAAACCACGTCGTCCGGGCACCTCCTCACGGGCAGCGGACACCTCTCGCAGAGCCTCGGCGTACGAAGACATGTCAGTTAAGATGACCAACACGTGTTTCTGAACATAATCAAAAATTTCATTAACAAACATGTCCATTATTTTTCTCTAAAGGCGGCTCTTCACGTTGGCCAACATTGTGCCGAATGTGTTGGCAAAGATATTAGCCAAGAGTTTGTGATGGCTTCCACACGTTCGAAGGTCGTTCAGTTTGCTTCGGTTCAGGCAGTGTGGACGAATTTATTAAAATGGATATTGAGGCGCTAACGGCTGCTGCGGTTTATTTATTCACAGAATACCGTTACTACGTGAATGTGTATAAGAAAAAGGTGATCAAAAAGAAATGGAAAAAAAGACATTTTATTTCTTGTATTCCACAAACAATTTTCGGCTTGGTAGAGCTCTATAAAGCGAAAAGTTTCTTCATTGGTCATTGTTACTGCCATTTTGTAGACATTAGTTACGATGCTAAAATTTAAATCAGGTGCGTGCGGTCACTCTGGGAGCTTGTAGCATACTAAACGTGCGCCCAACGTATGGACGTGGCGGCCAATACTCTGCCACAACCCCTTGATATTTTGTAAAAAACCGACACCACACGGATCTCGCGCCAACTTGTGGGCCGTCTTTCCAATACATACCAAGTGAACCACAAACACCCGCTCTACACGATGGCCGTCGGTATTGGCCACAACATTCGCCGACGTGAAGAGCCACCTTAAAGGGGGAATATGTCCACTACTAATGTTTATATTACTAAACGACCACATTGTTTAGTTGAAGACAAGAAGAATAAGTATTAGTCAACAAAGTCTGTCTGAACATGCTTCTCACAAGTACTGCCCTGCCACAAAAGGGTAACCTGAGTAAAAAAATTTTCTTCATGTTCCTGCCTTTCCCCTTACTGAGCCATGGTAGCTGGTAAGCTAAAAACTGGCTTAGCCCCTAGGCTAAGCACTCGCTATAAATTTCACAGAACATAAACAATCCAGAATCGAACCCCGCCAGCACCAATAAAATTGTTTCATTGCAATTATGCTAAACTTAAGTGTTGATTTACCACACACTCAACAGTATAGAAAAACAAAAATTAGAAAGAATATTTCAAATAACAAGTTAAGACTACAGGCATTAGAGCAGTACACTGGACTTCCTTGCCTTAAATCCCTCTCAGAAGTGAGAAGACACCTGTTCCCAGCAGTGGGACACTACTAGCTGTAACCTAAACATGTCATTTTATTTCCCAAATAGTTTCCAGATCATAGAGTTGTGACCATATAACTATTAATATGCTATTTTTGGGGCATATAAAAGAGCAATTCATCACACCCAAATTAACAATTCTTGAAGTAGTAGAATCACACTGCAGTTATTATGGTTACAGCTTGAATTGGTTAGCTCAACCGAGGTGACCACACTCTCACAGAATACCAGCGTAAAATAGCAGCATAAAGCAGCTGTGTTTTGTATGGCGAATGTAGAAATACAGTTTGCCTTTTTACAGATAATGAGGCAATTTAGGTACTCGAAATTACCAATTACTACTAATCGGGGGATAGATGCATGTGTCACAACATCCACATACCTTCAGGTGGACTGTATGCTTGTTTGTCCCCTTTACTCTATGAAAAAAAGGGAATAGTTGCAATCGCTGGTAACCCAAATTGACAAAAAAGAAATAAGATTATATTTGAGATATGAATATTAGAGGTATTAAAATACTAAGACAACCTTACCTCACACTGGTAAGCCAAGAACTCAGCAGCGGTCAGGGCAAGACGTGGAGTGATGATTCTCTCGATGGTAGGGTCATTAGCCAGGTTCAAGAACAGGCATACATTCTCCATAGAGCCATTCTCTTCAAAGTCCTGCTTGAAGAATCTAGCCGTTTCCATGTTGACACCCATAGCGGCGAACACGATGGCGAAGTTGTCCTCGTGGTCATCAAGCACTGATTTGCCAGGAACCTAATAGTACAAGACAAATGACTATTATATTACTCCATACACAAACTTCAGGAAGTGTCAAACAAACATTATTGCCCACGGAAATGGTCTTTTTGGTGGATGGATGGTGGAAAAACTTCTGTCAGCACATAATATAGATTTACATTTTCTTGTTTGAATTCAAAACTGTCGTGTCTGTAATGTCAAAATAACAGCTTTTCACTAAATGCATATAAAAGTATATACGGTACTTATAACAAAAACACAATTTTTAAAGTTTTTCTTTGTTCCGGTTATTTCCAACACGGCTGGACCGATTTTAATGGGATTTTCACTGGCAGACAGCTGATGTTATAAGGAGTAATTTTAAGGAGTTAATTAGGGTTTCGCGCAAAATAAAAAACGCGGGCGAAGTCGCGAGGTACAGCTAGTTAAAACTATAAATGCTTTCAACAAAACATGATTATAAGTTACAAAGTAAACACAAGGAAGAATACATATTACTATCGAAAATTGAATCTTGTATCATCATCATTGTTATTGTTACAGCCCATCCACAGGCTGAATAAGAGCCTAAGAGCTGAAGAAAGTGGATAAGGACCATACTATGTGACAATTCATACAAGAAATCATGCATTGGAATTTCAAGCCAGCTATTTACTTTTTAATTTATTACATGTTAGGAGTTAAAAATAAGTTAAAATTTACTTCAGTCACTGACTCAATATAAAAATGTGTTACTAATAATAATGACCTCTTTATTTAGTAAATATATATTTAATACATACCTTGACAAGACCAGCCTGTCGACAGATCTGAGCGGCAATTTCATTGTGAGGCAAACCGGCAGCTGAGAAGATTGGGATCTTCTGACCACGGGCGATGGAGTTCATTACGTCAATAGCGGAGATACCTGGTAAGATCATGGGTTTTAATTATCTTAATTTTTTTGCATTTTTCAAATACAATATTAAATTAAATATCTATACAAACCTGTCTGGATCATCTCCTCAGGGTAGATACGTGAATAAGGGTTGATGGGCTGGCCCTGAATATCAAGGAAGTCCTCAGCCAAGATTGGGGGACCCTTGTCAATTGGCTTTCCTGAGCCGTTGAACACACGACCTGGTGAAAAATAATTGCCAATTATACACACATGGCTTTTATAACTTCCTCCTAACTTGTTTCATTCAATGCCATTTCATATTTGTTGTTAGGCATTCAATTGAATGCCAGCATTTTATTCTCAGCCTAGCTGTTTATTCATCTAGCTTTTTAAGCTATCAGGCTAAACACATAAATATATATATACCATAATTTTTTTCGAAGAAATGACTAAAGTGCTTTTCTAGCCTCTTGTTCAAGCCTTTTTTTTATATAGGATATAATGACAAACGAGCACACAGTCCACCTGATGGTAAGTGGTTGCTGTGGCCCAATGACATCTACATTTATCCTCGTTTGCAAATCAAAATGCAGATGCGTTTTCATCCGTGAGGACTAAGATAGAATGCCTCTTTTCCAGTAAAAAGGGTCTCCAGTTCTCTACACTCACCATACGAAACACAGCAGCATGAAGCTGCTATTTGACGCTGGTATTCTGTGAGAGCGTGGTACTAATATAGCTGCAACATGGCTCTACCACGTGTAATGTTACATGTGGATGAAAGCACTGATTTTTATAATAACACAATTGCCTTCAAATAATCATGTTAACTTACATATTATCCTATATATTTTAAAATAATAAAAGATAATTAAATAACAAAAAATCATTTATAAAGTAACTTACCCAACATGTCTTCCGACACAGGGGTGCGCAGAATATCACCAGTAAACTCACAAAGGGTGTTTTTAGCATCAATGCCTGATGTGCCCTCGAATACCTGCACAACAGCTTTGGATCCACTCACTTCAAGGACCTATTAGAGATTAATTATATTATAGATTATAATAATGACATATAATTTAATTTATATACAGGGTTATTTTTCAGAGTACCCAAATTTTAAACTTAAGTTCAAATATATAAATATTGAAATACCGTTATTACAGTTTTTGAAAATACAAATATATAAGGCTTCTACTTTTATTTGAAATTATCTCAAATTGTATGTGATTTATGGGCAACAACATTTTTGCCTACCGATTGACCCCTAGCAAAGAGTGTGTGTATGCAGTAAAATCAGTTAAAATAATGCATTTCCATACATTTTGAATTTAAAAGATAAAAAGGACAGAATGTTTCAGATTTTTTTTAATTAATTTTTCTTCACCATTTGTCTATATTACTTAAACCTTCTCGCAAATTTGGCCCATTATTGCAAAATAACCCTGTATATGTTTTTTCAATAATTAAAACTAATATAAATAATTTATAATAAATAAGTAGCAAGAACTGATGTACTTTACACTGTTGGGATGTTTTATGTTTTCTGCTAAGAAAGGTAAAATAAAATAAATGGTGGAATAAAAAAAATAAAATAATTTTTTTTAAAAGTTTTTACTATATAAAAGTATTTTACATACCTGACCAGAGCGGAGTGTGCCATCAGCAAGTTTAAGCTGGACAATCTCAGAGAACTTGGGGAATTTGACATCATCGAGGATGACTAGAGGTCCATTTACACCTGACACTGTCTTGTATGCTGTAATAAAAATAACACTGTAACTAATATGTATGGAACTGTGCGATTTTATTTGTCGATCCCGGACAAAAAAAAGCAATAGTGATTCAGATTATAGAGCAGCTCCATGAACCATGATATAACTAGATTTGACGATTTGTTGGTTCAATGGCTGAGCTTTGCATTGCGGCGCTGAGCGGCAGCGGCAAACGGTGAAACCTATGGTGGGTTTGACTGCCGACAAGACAAGTATTTGCATGGCTTATAAATAATTGTTCTGGGTCTGGAATGTCTTGTGCAAAAAAAAAATACAGTAGAAAAAACACAATAAAGTCTGTTAAGAAAACAATAAAAATTGTTTTCTGAACAGATAAGAGATATAAATTGGAATTTAAGTACAAATTGGAAACTGTAGGAGGAATGATCGAGACAGAAAGCAAAAGAAACTTAATAGTTTCTTTTGCTTTCTAATATGTGAACAGTTCTATAATATGATGCACACCATAGAGGCATCTTGTAATTACAAAAAAAAGAAATAAGTTCATTTCTTGATGTTGGTCCGGATAAATCTCTAGTGGTAAACGATTCCACAAAGAAGTTGTGCGAGTAAGAAAACTTCTAGTAAATCTCACAGTGGTGGACAGCCAAGCATCTACATGGTGTGGATGGTATTGTGAGTTTTGTATAATGTATTAATTTATTAATAATTGCAATAAAGCAATTTCTAACAAATAGGTTTTCTATAGGATTGGGAAGGAGATGGAAAAGTAGGAAGGTTTATAGGTGCCTGAGTAGAGGGGAGATGGCTTGCAGGAACTTGTGAAGATGCAACATCAGAATCAGCTGGAAAACGAACAGAAGCCTCAAGGTATGACATTCTCTTGCAAAATTTTTCTTGGAAGTTAGGGAGGATGAATGTATTTGGATAGGAAACCGATGGGTTATCTTTGTGCCCTATTTTTTTCTTTGGGAAGCTGGGTAAAGTATCCGTAAGTTTACGTTTGACAGAGCTAAAATCACCGCATAAATCCGGTGGTTCAGCGTCTCCCTCTTCAACATCCATCGTTGTCAAAAAATCTACAACTATCTAAATAAATAATACTCACGAACTAACAAGCAGGACAACACAAAGAAAATTGAGACGGTTTACGCAAATTTGAATCGGAAAAGAATTAAAAACTTATTGTACAAAAACAAGTGTAACCACCAAGCACTCTAACAGCAGATCTCGTGAAAGAAGTCACTAAGGCACCAGTCTTTGCTAAATTTGAAGTTTGCTGTCAAATTCCATACTTTCGTTATTTTATGAAACAGATTAGTTTAAGCCTGAGACTTATTATAAGCTACTCTTTTTAATGAGACTGTATAAGTTTATGACATGAAAAAGCACAAATATCTGTAACTCAAGTCACATGACAGTCTAATAAGATTTAATTAAGATTAATAAAAATTGTTCCCTTTTCACACAAATATATTGTAACAATTACCTAATTATGTTTACTAATCTGGTTTTATTAAGCACTTATATTATATACTTATAGTTAATTTTCAAAATGAGGAAAACTAAATCTCATATCTAACCATAGACATTTTAATCAGCTGATTTAAATCAAATTTATTGCAATGAATTATTCACAAAATAAAAAGTACAATGTGATTTTTTATCCTACATTAGACCAATGGTTAGAATAGAATTCAGTAACAGCAAAAATAAAACTAATTTGTTCTCATACAGTAAAAATTAAGCAACAATTTTTCAAAATATTTTAAAGCTGATACTATTAGTAATATTGTAGATAGTACCACTTTTATATATAAAAACATAACGAGAATACGTAACATATAATATTCTATGGTAAATGCCTAATATCGACTTGCAGCAGAAAATACGCCCTGGAAGTAATTAAACTTAGTATTGAGTATATATAGAATCAATAGAACTGGAAGAATGAGTTTATAATAACTATTGAGAATGAAGTTAGATTCTAGGAAATAATTTTATATCCTATATAAAAGCTTAACAAAATATGTGATAGATTCAAAGTATAAAAAGTGTTAAATAAACCAAGGCTATCCATAATTTAGATAACGGAAAATCACCGTATTTAACATAAGTTTATAAAGATTTAATGGGATTCCTCAAGGATTAAAGAGTAAATAATAACGGAACATCAAACGTACCTTAGTCATTAATCTCGGAAGCAAAATCAATAATTTGGCATACAAGTTGACCCAGCTAAAGGCCTTATAAACGATGTTAATCAGATACTTACTAAGACGGGGCTGGGATATGAAGTCCCGGGAAACGGCCAGGACATGTTCCTTGTTAGCCTGTGATGCGGACATAGTTTTAGCCATGTTTCAGTTTTCTTTTGGCAGTCCGCTCAGTAAATTACTAAACTGCGCTGCCTCCTCGCCCGAAAACTGACGAATGGAAGCGTTGTCTATGGACTTTCACGTGCCGTCACGTGACTTATCACAAGGCACAAGTTGCAATTACTGAAAATAAAATTGGAAATGGTAGTTTATCTAAACACATTAATTTACGTATAATGTAGTTATATTTGGCAATTATAATCATATTCCACTATACGAATAATATACTTTTTATAAGCTACTCCCGAGGGTGTCGTAAGAGGCAAGAGAGGGAAATGAAACAGGAAATGGGGGCTAAGCTTTCCATTGACTCCCGTCGAGTTGAGGGTTGATACGTATTTTTACAGAAAAGTTACATTATTATAGGCACACACACAAAGTTAGAACATGCGGAAACGCGTAATTTTTGAGAAATAAGTTGTTGAAAGTCAATTATTCTAGCATTGTTTATATCTAATCCTACCATAAAACTGACGCCATTTTGTAATGTCATTGTCGTCAGTAGGGATGTCGATTCTTTCCGAAAAGGGTCGATTTTTAAATAGATTCAAATTGTAAGCTGATGTATCGATTCATAAAAAATCGATTTCTAAAATATCTATATTTTTATGTTTGTATTTATAATGTAAATATAATTCCATTTTATGAAAAACAAGAAAGATACCATAATAAATTATCTCTTATTGAATTTTGTTTTATTTTAACAGTACCAATTAGGGCAGATAACAAATAAAATAGGTTAGATTCAACTTATGTCAAAGAACCGAATTGATTGACCCCGACTCCACCTGGTACGAGTCTATCCTACCCCTAGAGTGGTTTTAAAGAGCCGGAGGCGCGTAGAGAGAGCAGCCTCCGTCTGCTCCCCGCCTCCGCAGCTTCGGCTTGTTGGTCACCTTCGGCGAGCAGCCTAAGCCGCTCCGGGTCGTCCGATGCCTACGATTTGTTACACTAAGGCCTAGAGGCTGCTCATCCCGCAGCGCCGGAGACGTAGCAGTCTCGAAATAGGTACAGAAATCCTTCTGAATCAGTCCCCCTATATTTTATGACGAAGGGGATTTTTTTCTCATAAAATGGATTTATATTTACATTATAAATGCAAACATGAAAAAAATATAGATATTTTAGAAATCGATTTTTTGGGAATCGATATATCAGCTTACAATTAGAATCTATTTAAAAAATCGATATTTTTCGGAAATAATCGACATCCCTACTGACAATAACAATAAAAAAATGGCATCACTTTTATTGTAGGATTAGACATAAAGAATGTAAGAATAATTGATTTTTTAATTTGAATTTTCAATAACTTTTTTCTCAAAAATTACGCGCTTCCGCATATTGTAACTTTGTGTGTGTGTTTATAATAGTGTAACTTTTCTGTAAAAATACGTATCAAACCCCAACTCGATGGGAGTCAATGGAAAGTCGTACCGAAATAGGCAGCAGCATCGACCCGGTGACAACTCAATAAAATTAAAATAACTGTATTTGCTAACCCGCTTGCCAAGGGTGACAACATATCAAATATCCCACCTATGATCAATCTAAGGGTGCGGCATACATTGCATCTAAGTGGGATTTTTGCCAATTTTTAGTAGCTGATTTTTTCAGTAAGTTTAAAGTTTAAAGTAAAGATTAAGGAAATAAAGTACGACATTGTATACCTTGTTTATAATGTTATCATTCATAACATTGATATGTTAATATTTTTGAAGTTCGTTTTACTTACTTTGATGCGTTAACTGATACCTTAAATACTCTTTAAATCCCTCAAAATTATTCGAATTGACCTGGCAGTTAAAAAAATAATGTCTAGACTGTAATGAAATGAAATACGTGCATAATAATATAAGTACGTAAGTCGAATTAATGAAAGAAAAAGGAGACTAGCGGTTGTTATCACCTACACTAGGCGAGAAAAAGTTACTTAGGAATTTTTCATCATTGTTTACACCAAACCATAAGGTTTAAATTTAAAAAAGAAATATGTATTAGTTATTATATATAGTATTAGCAATTAACAAAATTGTCTATAAATTGTGTTTCTAAAACAAGTGATAAATCAAAATTATTAAAAAAAAAGTTAAACAATTTAAAAATGATTCATGAACGCATGAAAATTAAAATACGCTAAACATTATTACTTTGTATCAGATATGTACAGATAGATATTTTTTTTAAATATTTTAGATCATTTTGCGCGTGGTAGAGGGTGTAGTACGTGGTGCAACTATATTAGTTGTACGATTATTGCAAGAATGAGTCAGCTCGACCGGGCAAGGGCCTCGCTCTCACAGAATACCAGCGTAAAATATCAGTTTAACGCTGCTGTTTTTCGTATGGTGAGTGGTAGAGAACCGGAAACCCTTTTTACTGGAAACGAGTAACCATCTTAATCAGGCATTGAATATTGGTACCAATTTTGGTTCTGGTTCTTCATTTAGGTTCTTATAAAGTTTCCTCTTTTCGGTACTACTTACCTAACATTTGTTTGGCCAAACTTCTAACATAATCTTTTCATATTACCAACATCATAATATAAAGAAAACTACTACCATATTTAATTTAAATCTTAAACCTTTGACAAATTATTACATAAAATAAGTTAAGGCGCAGGTTGAGCAAAATGTCGCGCTAGTCGTTATTTGTGCTGTTTTTAGGAGCGACCTACTTTTTATTTAAAAGATATATCAACAAATAAAAAACACATTATATTTCTACATAATCTTGATTCCATAAAAGCTATATCCAATTTTTTTAAAAGGAATAAATATTAGTATAATCTCCTTACAACGAAACCACATAAATGTGAAATTATTATTGATAACATGCATCTCCTCGTAAAGTAAGTATTATTTTATTTTGCGATTTACACCAATGGATAGGCAATTTATTAATGAACATTTCTATAGTAAATTTTTTTTTCAAAAGACCAAAATTTGATTTTATTAAGAATTTATTTTAAAATCTGGGCATATTCACTGCTCACGGGCTTGCTGAAGTCAGTGAGCCCTGAGCTCTTCGACGTGAAGCCCGTGTCGTTAGAGCGTCGACCAGCACATACACTCACGTCATATCAGTCGATAATAATATTACTTATTAGGTTACTCGTATTTATAGGTAGTATTATTTGTTTGTTTTGGGTATAATTTTTCGTATTAGTTATACACATATTTGTTGTGTTTTTTACTGCTCGATGAAGCTTTTTGCGTGTATTTTCTTTGAAGTAAATGCAAATAAAAAAATGAAGCACCATTAGCATATAAAGTTCGAATCCATAATTAAAATTTCGACAAATATTATAATTTACACTATAAAAGGCTAATTCAATATTATCACCAAACCACAATATCTTATTAAGTATAGTACTGCCTCGTTGGTCTAGTGGTTGTAGTAGTGCGACTTCTGATCATGAGGTCCCGGGTTCGAATCCTGGGTCGGGCCAAAAAGTCAGTTATGAGTTTTTCATTTATGTTCTAAGTTATAATTAGTATTACTAAGTTATAGTTTTTTGCTAAAATATAGTATATTATTTATTGCTTGTTTTTTCTTCTTTTTCAAAAAATAGTTGAGTACATAAGGTGTTCTATACTTATAATTCGGTAAAAAGTATCTAAGTAGGTACTAATATACCTACTTTTTACTATTAACTAAAAATTTTTAAAACTAAATTTAACTAAAAAAACTATTCTGACCATTTATTTTTTAACTCAAAACAGGACATGGGTTTATTTATACTCTAAAAACTATAACTTTATACAATTAGTGTTCACTGTAAAATTATATTCGGTATAGACGGTAATTATTAAATGCAACATATTTTTTTTTAATTATTAATTACATTTGTAAGTGGATTAAATTTGCTTTAATAAAGTTGGTGATGATTTTAAATAAAAATAAAATTCTGCTCAAGTTTTTTTATTGTTATCTTTGTTACCAACATCGCCTTTAGAACTCTGGAACCGTAAGTGTTTCTTTCAGACGTCCACAATTTATTCAAAATAAAAAAATACTCTTTCTACCGGAGCATTCGTACCAGGTAGACATAAAATATATTCGATTAAAAAAAATTATGTTGAAGATTGTTGACTTTGAATACTTCCATCCAACTAGTTACGGGACAATTTTGTGTCCCGGAGCTTTGTTTGGGGACAATGGGACAGGTGACCGAGAAAAGGGACAGTCCCGTTCAAAACGGGACATATGGTCACTTTAGCTATAACCTGGCGACAGCTCCGTCGCGCAGTGGCTTAGTAATCAGTTGTTGCGCTGGGGGCCGCGGGTTCGAATCTCGCACGGAACAAGTATTTGTATGGCCTACAAATAATTGTTTCGGGTCTGGATGTTTGTCCTTGTACAATTTATGTTTGTAAACTGCCTCCACGACACAGGAGAAAATCCTAGTGTGGGGGTAACGTTTTTTTACAATTGAAATTGAAAGATTGAACCCTTATACTTCTTGTTGATTTTTGTATTACCTTTATTAAAGTTACCCTTATGTATAAATAAATATAATTACGTATGTAGAAATAAAATTGATTTTCATCCTCATCAATCATTGGGGCGAGGATAATGTCTGCCAGCATAAGTAATAAGCAGGCTAAGTTACAAGGTGCTCAGTTCATAAATTTGTAGGTAGGATATGTTACTTTTAAATACGTGACACGTAAAAATTAACAATAATCAAAAACATATCTACGAAACATCCTATTTATTTATTTATTCTTTATTGCTCCAAATATTTGTACAAAAGGCGAGCTATCTATTTATTTACCTATAGTGAATAGGTATCTTTTAAACTGACAATTTTCAATGCTTCATTTTTAATATATAATTAATTATAAAATTTCATAATTAGATAATATATGAAAATACATAATTCTAATATAATGCAATTAATATACCGAATAAAAAAATTAAAATACATTTATCGTTGTACGCTGTGTGTATTTCCATAAATTAGTTTATTGATCTTGAAAAAATAATACTACATAATAGGTGGCGTCTTAAATAAGCAATATATTGAAGCGAGCGGCGTGCCGCCGGCAAATGCTCAAGGTCGTTCGCATGGAGTAGCCCCTTAAGTGAATTCTCTTTCATCATATTTATTGTGGCTTAAACAAAAACCAAAGAGTATTTCAGAAAGGCTAGAACCCAGAGCCGTAAAACCAGTTAAGAAATCCAAAGAGTATATGTTATAGTAATCGATATAAGTACGCACAGACTAATATGATACTAACGTATTAAGTACGTTTAAGCAAAAACCAATGAGTGTATAATTAAATACGTTATAGCACAACTAACATCATAAAAGTTTCATTTTAAAAATAAAGTTTGTGAACACTTTAAGCAATTGATACAAGTTTGAATTATCGCCATTTTAAACAGAGCAACACAGGCCACCGGTAGATCAAAGGTGAGTAGCGCAGGCGTTTTCCTCTGTCAAAGTATAAGTCCACGCGGTCCTATGCTTACAATAAAACTATTTGTAGCCGCACTGCACACTAGACTAGTTGCCCGACTTAATCAATGTCCTACAAGAATGCCGAATTTTTCAGTTTTATGCTGCAAATGATATTTGCCAGTCCAAATTTACAAAAATAATGGCGTTACTTTTCATATACAAGTAATTTTAAATCACATTATTACTATTTAACTTCTTTTTAAACTTAAAAATTACAACAACAAGGGTCGTGTTGTTTCAGATTTGTTTACCAATACAGACCGCTCGCCCTCATACCATATGCAAATCGATCGAGCGACTGAATCAAGTTTGTATCCGAGTTGTCCCTGTCACCGAGCGATTCTGTTATAATGTATCTACATATTTGTGATATTGTTAGTTTATTACATGTGTGAGTTTCGTAGTGATAGACTTTTATTTTAGTATGCGCATATTTCCCCCCGCAAAAAATGTCAGACGGTTTTGTATCGCGGAAAAATGATATGGCTACTCCCCTCTTATCCGCCGGTGGACCGTATTGCTCTATACCATTTTAATTGGCAAAGAATGATGGTTAAGGTTGTATCGCTATCGTTACAAAATTTAGCATGGCATGGGTGTATATTTATATAATATAATTATTTAAATAAGTGTAGTATATATTTTTGTATTTATATCAGTGTTGCCAGAAGGTTTTGTAACTCGTGTAACTTGTACATACAACTTGTATCTATGATACAAGTAACATTTAAAACATACAACAATATTATTCGTTATCAAAACGACTTAACCACAATTTCGATGTTCACTTTAAAATAAAGAACTCCCGCCTAGTTTTATCAACATGAAGATATTTTAAATTTACTTAGTAGTATTAGTAGTATTTACTTAGCTATGTTAGGTATCTACCTATCTTTCATTTAAA